CCGCCACCGGCAGCAAAGCCCCAGGGGTCGGGGCACCGCGGAGCGGCGAGTGTCCGCGCTCCGGCCGCGGCCCCTTGGAGGGAATGGAGAGGAACGACACACGCACGGAAGAGCCTGGGGTTTGGCGTTTTGTGGTGTTGTGTTTTTTTTTTTTTCTTTTAAATCAGCTTTATTTTTCTAACTGTTATTTCAATTTCCCATAGCACCTTGGCAATGTCAAAAACAAATACAAATACATGTATTATCATTTGAACATTTAAAGCATGAACCTACTTTACACAAATTTCCTTTTGGACAGTTTTGACAACAGGAACATACCAGAACAGACGAAGTATAGAAGCCAGATAGGTCGCGTTTTTCTCCTCTCACTGAAGCCCTACCACTCTGAAGAGACATCATAAATGCCAAGGGGAAGCTGGATTCATCCGGGAGGAACAGGATGTCTGTAGTAACTCGAGCTCAATATATTATCTGAATATTTTGTATTCTATAAAAATTAGAACAAAAACCATTTATGCACAGTCTGTTTACATTTGAAGTTGCTTTTTTTTTTTTTTTTGGAAACTGTATCCGTAACTGAAGCTCCATAAAAATAAACCTCTGGTTCTTAAATATAAAATTTTAAAGTTGTTACAGGTTAGTTTGCAGATGGATTTTTTTTCAGAAATAAGTTGCTTTAACTCCATTTCAAGTCCTCCCAACTGTACATTAAAACTCCATGAACCTCTTGAAGTGCCCACTAAAGGCACTGAAGAGAAGAGCCAACTAAAACACTACAACAAACCCAAATTATGTACCACCCTAAAGGAAGCTCAGACTATATGTAATATATACACACAAAGAGCATGAGAAATCATTCGGATTAATGGCAACAACCTCACGTTTCAGAAGGAAATATCAAAGTTAGAAACGAAAATTCTATTGCATATCTGTAGGAATCAAGGATTTACAAAAAAACTTATCCGAAGCCGTTTCCCCCCGAAGTGCATTTCTTGTTGCATCGTCTGTAACACAATGGTGCGTTTTACAAATTTAAAATATTATCTGTACACACCAGATATTTTGCCCCGGGTGAACCATCACGTGGGCGACAGTAAAAATAGCCGACGTTTTCCAGACAATTAAGCGGATATTGACAAAGTAGTAAGGCCATAGCTATTAACTACAGTAAAGCATTGATTAAGTCACTTATTTGCTACTGATCTGCCACAGTATCATCTTTCTCTTCTGGTTAATAGAGTGGGTTACTTTTTTTTTTAACTTTTTTTTTTTTTTTTAAAACCTATCACTAAAACTGCACCATCATACTGTGCCAGGCTAACTTTTTTTTTTTTTTAAAAAAAAAAAACAAACAGCAGGAATGTAAGATACTATAAAACTAACTTAATTTTAGAAATCAAAAGAAAAAACGTTTTGCACTTTTAATTTTACTATCACATGCAAATAATTATTTCTCTTTTCACCCCCCAGCAGAAGTACAAGAGAGTGGCCCGATCTTTTCCACGCACAATAATTCGGAAAAGAACTTAACTGGGGAAGCATACTTCTGTAGCTAACGAAAGTCAACAACTCTGGAAACAAGTCACAGTTCCTAAAACTGAGAGTTTCGTGTGATTTGCACCTCTGGGATTCAGTGTCAGCAGAGCAGGAACATTTGTCCTTACATCCAACCACGGAGAACTGATCTGCCACTCCGAGCGCAGGCCGGATGTCGCCGCGGGACAAGAGACAGTTCAGCTCTGCTGATGGTGCAGCTCAAACGGAACCCGGGAGCATTCCACATTCCAGGAGCCAGCATGGCTCC